TAAGGGGACCATTAATATGGGAGTTACATTCAAAAAACATGGTCACTTAGATATTCAAGCCTACACAGATGCTGACTGGGCAGGAAATCCAAACGATCGAAGATCCACTTCAGGGTATTTCACCTTTGTTGGAGGAAATTTGGTCACATGGAAAAGCAAGAAACAAAAGGTAGTTGCTCTATCAAGTGCAGAAGCAGAATTCAGAGGGATCGCTCGAGGAATTACTGAGGTTCTTTGGCTAAGAAAACTCCTTAAAGATTTGGGGTATCCGCCAAAGGGTAAGTGTAGACTAATGTGCGATAATACCGCTGCTATTCGTATATCAGAGAATCCAATACAACATGATCGTACCAAGCACATCGAGATTGATCGTCACTTTATCAAAGAGAAACTCGAGGCAGATATCATCAGTCTTCCATATGTCCGATCTGAAGATCAATTGGCAGACATTCTCACAAAAGCAGTACCAGCTGGAGTCTTTCAAGCAACATTAAGCAAGTTAAACATCCGAAGTGGATGATTCAACTTGAGGGGGAGTGTTAGAAATATCAAACAAAAAGGGAATAGTGTAATATCTTGATAATGTCCTTGATTGGAATCAAATTACCAATCAGGATATTTGATTAACTTCCACTCACTTTCCTTGATTGTCTTCATTATTAACTTTGTAATATATATATAGACATCATTAGAGATGTATTCAAGAAGATGAACATTTTCATCTGTGAATTGATTCTATATTTTTAATATAATACTCCCTCCGTTCTCAAAAACACTTCTTCTTTCATTTTTTCCACTTCCAACAAAACACTTCCCTTTTCTATTAAAAAACCACTCTTACCTTTACTTTTTCATACCCTACCTATCACATCATATTTTTTTTTCTAATAATCTATCTATCACATCTTACTTTTACCTATCACATCAGGGGCAAAATTGGAAATCAACTATAATTTAACATTTCCTTATTTTTGCTCCAAATCCAAATGGGAAGTGTTTTTCCAAATGGATGGAGTAATAATTATGGCAGTCTTTGGGGTTATAATCTCCTTTGTATATCTATACTTTGCCATGTATTCTACTGTTTCTTGAGTAATAAAATTATTCTATTATTCAATGAATATACCGTATATATCAGCAGCTGCTTGCATTGCTTTTTGCTTTGTTTTGTCATCCGTCATTGTAAGCACCTTCAACACCACCTTTTGCTGGTCGGAATTTAATACATACAATAATATTATCGATAATCAATAAACTTTAATTATTAGCTAATTTTTTTAGCGTTCTAATTAAACTGATTGACGGTGAGATTCAAACATATGGCCTGTTTGATCAACAAGAACTCAGACATAGAAAATGGAAGAAAATTAAACATGAATAGAGGACAGTACCTGAGACATTGTTTGGATTGAAGTTGAAGAGGAATAGGCAAAGAGACTGCTTGGCTTCGTTGAACAACTTTTAACAGAAGAATTGAAGAAAATTTAATTGTTGAATTCTTGGTGATAGAAAGCGAAGTTTTATATGGTCAATTTCTTTGTGCGTGGGAAAATGGTGCAGCCGAAAATTTGGACAACTTTCATGCAAATTCATTTTGATTGTTTTTTTCAGGGAGCAAAGATATATTTTCATTTTAGTAAATTAATTCTTCAAAATTTTGGGTATTGATATTGATATTTAAAAATAGTATAAAATAAATGGGAAGAACTAAATGAGATTACCCTTTGGAGACGTGACCGCTCTATGATTTCAATCTTTCCCAATTTTTATGGTCCTAGTCTTTTTTGATATGTTTGGTTTGAAGAATTATAAAAAGATGATAACAACCCTATTTTGATTATAAAATGAGAATTACGACGTAAAATCTTACGATTTTTGAAATCATTTTATTTACAAATCAGTACATCAATAAGAAATAAAAATTATATATTAAAAAATTACATCCAAAATTCTACAAAATAAGAGGCGACAATAATATTTTATTTTATCAAATAATCAATGAAAGCACATAAATAAATAAAAGTTATCGAAATAAGAGAGAAAATAAAATTATAATAAAAATGAGACTGGAGAGAATATGGTTTCCTTGTCTAATTTTTTAAATTAAACAGAGTGTTAGTCTATGAGTAGCATTGTAATTGTAGCCATGCAGGGTGCAGCATAAAAGAAAGTGTGGTTATTTAATTTAATGGCCTTCGAATTGTTCTAAATAGAGCAAATAAAGTGCACCACATTCGTCAAACCCACCATTGGTCCATTGCCCCTTCATCTGACGTCTCAACCATAATAGAGAGTTAGATGGCACAAGGAGATTTAATAATGGCCTTTTTTCTTTCTTAATTTTTATTTTTTTGAAAAAAAAAATCAAGATCAGTAAATTGTTCTGTTTTTAATAATGGTAAAATATCAGCCAGCTGAATATGAAGAAGAACTGATGAGCAACTCCAATTAATCCTTGTTTTCTTTTTTTTAAATTATCATGAAATTTGTTTGTTTTTAAGATAAATCCCACAAAAAAGAGAGCAGCTTTTTGTTGGCATGGGGGCTTGGAGTAGAAGTGCAGAGTATGTTATATGTATGGAAGGCATCATCATCATCATCATCATCATACAAAAAGGCTCCCATTTCCATACATTGAAAACGTACAACCCCAATCTTGTAATTTCAGCTCTTGCCTTCGTCTCCCTCCGATTCTTAGTATGGTTTAATAAGATATGAATACTTGTGATTCTATCGTAAGAACCAAACTCAACTAAATGATCAAGTTTTTTTGTTGACATGAGCTAAATACCGTACCATGCTCACACTTACCTGGCTCTAGTCAAATGAGCGGGTTAACAAATGGGACATAACACAAAAGTAATACAGCTAGGGGCAAGTTTGATCGGCACAAAACGAAAGTGATGCACGAATACAGAGAAATGCATTAGTATGAGTTCATAGTGCATTACATCACATACTACGGGATGGATGCACTGGGTTTACACTTTCACTGTATAATTTTGAACTCAGAAAATTAAACACAAAGCAATGGAATATAATGGGAAACGCAACAGCGTGATCGATAAACTATAAGGGGGAAAAAACTTAACAAGAAGGCAATCAATTACTTAACAAGGGGCATGTATGAATATATGATGGAGATCGTGCCGACGATGATGGTGATGATGATGGTGATGGGGGGCTTATTAGAATGCTCGAGCTTTGATGGTGTCGAGGCTCATTTCGCTAGGATCGGTGGCTTGGAGCTCAACCTGAATCCCATCGAGTTCTCTCTTGAACCGGTCCTTTGAGCTTGCATACACCATCTTCATCCTCACCCTTGATGATTCCGGTGACCTTATTCATTAATACATGTGCAAGAAATTAGTAACTTGAATCATCATCCATTTTCATTCATATCCAATCCACACCCATGGTGGCCAAGCTAGTGCTTGCACAGAAAGTCTAATGGGAGAGGGGGAAATTAATGCAAAACTGTTCTTAATATGCATATAGGGAGTACTTTAGAAATGAAAAGCATTAGGAATAATAGAGATAATAGGAACCACACATTATTTTTAGGCTCAATTCCACCGTTGGTCTTTCAAATTATTGCGTCATGCACGATTAGTCGTTCAACTTTGAAAAATTCCATGAAAAGCCCTTCAAGTCATGTTAACGGTTCATGGTTGGTCCTTCAACTTTGAAAATTCCACGAATAGTCCTTCAAGTCACGTTAGTGTTACATGATTGGTCCTTTCATTAAATTATTAGTGAATAGTGAGGCCATGCATTTTTCATATTCTTTCAATTTTAAATACACGTGAGAATCTTTTTCTTCTTTAATTACTCCAATTTTTTTTACATAAAATAAGTTACTTTTGCTTTTATTAGTTTAATTGTATTTAAAAAATATCACTCCGCCTTAAAGTTTTTATCAAATTTTGACTTTTCATAGTCAAGTAGGTTTAATTTTTTTACCAATATTTTAATTAAAATAAATCTACAAAAAGTATGACTCAAATGTACTCCCTCCGTTTGGAAAAACCCTTCTCATTTGATTTGGGGGCAAAAATAAGGAGGTGTTAAATTGTAGTTGATTTCCAATTTTGCCCCTGATGTGATGGGTAAAAGTAAGATGTGATGGATAGATTATTAGAGAAAAAGTAAGATGTGATAGGTAGGGTATGAAAAAGTAAGGGTAAAAGTGGTTTTTTAATAGAAAGGGGAAGTGTTTTGTTGGAAGTGGAAAAAATGAAAGAGAAAGTGTTTTTGAGAACATAGGGAGTATGAAAAATGAAAAACAATGCATGAAGTAACAACAAAATTAACGGAAGGACCAAACATGGAACACTAACATGACTTGAAGAACTATCCGCAGAATTTTTTAAGTTGGAGGACTAATCATGCAATATTAATATGACTTCAAGGACCCTTCGTGGAATTTTCCAAATTCAAGAACTAACCGTGCATAATGCAATAACTTGAAGGACTAGCAGTGGAATTTAGCCTTATTATTATTTAGTTTTTTCTTATTCTATCACTTCTATAATTATCATACTATGACCTCTTAAAATTGTTTGGATGAGGCAAGCTATATACTCCCTCCGTCCCTTAAATTTCTTTCCTTTTTTTTTTCTAGTCCCACTAACTTCTTTCCTTATCTATTAAAAAACTACTTTTACCTTTACTTTTTTCATACATAATCTATCAGATCATACCCTTTCTAATACTCCGTAATAATTTGTACATCACATCTTATTTATACCCATAGAATATTTTTGGAAAGTCAACACAAAAATATCTTTTCCTTAGTTTCCCAAAAAGTCAGGGAAGGGAGGGAGTATATGGGATAGCGTATCTGTACCAGGCGATGAAGAAAATCTTGCTTTTCTGGACATTCTCGTCGGTGGTGAAGTCGAAATCAAAGACGGCGTAGCGGCACTCGTCGGAAGGGAGAGAGTTGGTGAAATCGTCGTAGGACTCATCGGGTCTCCCCACCTTCTCCACCACCACCTGTTGAGCCTCGATCTTGAACAGTATGTACCGGTAGTTCCTCTTCGATTTCAGTTCCAGAAACTTCAGCTTGCACGCGTCGTCCACCTGCATTCCCGACACCGCATTCGCCTGCATCCATCCATATACATCATCCATTCCAAATCCAATCCATCAACAACGCATTCATCCAATACATCAATCGCCGATCATCAATCGGATTCATCCATAAATTCAATCCAATCCTCGATCAACAATAATGAATTATACGGAATTAAACGGATTTGATCGGGAAATTAAACGAAACGAAACGCAGGATGGATCTGGAAATACATACCATGATGATGATGTGATCGCAATGGAAGACGGATTTGAGGAATTGATCGCCGGCTGCTGCTGCTGCTGGAAATGGGGGGGGGGAGACAGGAAAAAGAGGGAATTAGGAGAAATAGAGAGTTAA